AGGGCTTCGGATTCCCTGTGACCGGAGTTACAAACAGTAGTGAACCACCTGATGTGGGTGCTGGGAATTGAACCCAGGTCCTCCAAATAAACAGCCAGTGTGCTTAACTACTGAGCCATCTCTCCAGCTCTCCCTTGTTTTGCTTTTTATCTTATGTTTTGAGAAAGGCTCTCTCTAGGTAGTCCTGATTGTCCTGGAGCCTCTGTCTACATAAAGACCAGGCTGGCCTTGAACTCAGAGATTCTCCCACCTCTGCCTCCCAAGTGCTGGGATGAAAGGTGTGTGCCACCATGCCTGGATCCCTTGATTTTGTTTTTTATTTGTTTGTTTGTTTTTAAAGACAAATAAGGTTTTAAAAAATTGTTCCTTTTCTTTAGAGAAGAGTTTTGAATTAAACTCAGAAAGTTCCCACATTCATAACGTTTTGCCTTGCCTAGGCTTTCTCTCCTCTGCAGTCGAGATTTCCTCACCCTTCCATGAAGTCCTTTCCGACTTCCAGGTTGTCCCAACAGAGCCTGCTGTGGGGACACTCGGTAGTCCGTAACCCTATTCCCCTCCTTGGCATGATTGCCTTAGAGCAAACTAGGACAGCGGGCTTGCTGAGGTAAAGGAAAACTGACCACTCTGCTAAAGGCTACCCTTAGTGTGCTTGGACTTTGGAGGAAGAAGGGCGCCAGGATGAGACCACGAAGCTTCTATTAAACACAGGCACCAGGAGAGAGGCCAGGGCTGAAAAACTGCAGACTCCCAGGCTCGAATCTGATTTATCCAGTTGGAATCCTTTAAATGTTGGATGACAGCATCTTTAGACCTTCCTGGGTGACTGTTAGGCAGTCCAAAATTTGCGAACCTGTGCCTTAATAGTTGCACAATTCAACTTGCTTCCTCCAAAGTAGGGCTGGGTTATTTTATTTCAAAGGATTATAAAGAAATTGGCTCTGTTATTCAGCTTACTGGAATATGGATGATTTCTATGGCCTTTGCCCCCTCTCCCCGGTCTGTCTCTCTCTCTCTGTCTCTCTCTTTCCCTTTCTGTCTCTCTCATACACAAAGAACAAAATATTCATTTATTTGTGGCAGGGTCTTAGGACGTAGCCTAGACTGGCTTTCACTCTTAGAAGTGCTATATACATCATTTGAGTTTCTCCGTGGGATTCTAACTCTGAAACTCTCCTTTGCTTTCTTTGATAACGTGGAGAGAAATGTACCTAGAAGGAATCTGAACTTGTAGATAGAAAGACAATTCTAGCTTACTCTGTGGCTAGGGATAAAGGAGTCTGAGACGTTAACAGCTAGCTCAGATGGTCTGTGTGTTAGCTCTAGGTTTTATTTTGAGACAAGATCTCACTATGCAGCTCAGGAACTTGATATGTAGTACAGGTTGTCCTTGAACTCGCAGAGCTGTGTTTCGGCACTCTGAATGCTGGGATTAAAGGTAGACCACACACAACACACACACATAACACACACCACACACACATAACACATACCACACACATGCACACACAACACATACATACCACACACACAACACACATACCACACACAACACATACACACCACACAGCACACACAACATACACAAGGCACACACATGCACACACACATCACACACACAACACACACATAACATACACACACAAGGCACACACATGCACACACACACCACATACACACCACACCCACCACACACACACCCACCACACACACACACACACCACATACACACCACACACACATCACACACACAACATACAACACACAGGCAACATATACACACAAGGCACACACATCCACACACACCTGCATGAATGCACATGCGTGCTTGCACACATAAACACAAGCCCAGCTCAAAGAGCTGCCATTAAAGCCTATCTCTTCCGCCAGCCATCTGTAAAGCCTTAGACACATTACGTCACCTCTCTGAGCCTCAGCCCCCTTCTCTGTAACACGGTGCTTCCTCTTGAGTTGTGTGGACTGGTTATGCAAGCTTGCCACGGGAGAGCTCTGTGTGTTACCTGGTATGTGACAGGATCCATCCCGGTGGCATTGCGAGTCTCATGTTCCTGTTACTATAACCCACCTAGCTCTAAATCTGATCCGGGCACTTTGTGTTTTCTTTAGAAATGAAACCAAGACTGGCTTGTTCCTTCCCCAGGAACACTGTCTTTTGAGCTTGGCTCATGGATACCGTAGTCCTGAACCTTCTTCAGTGGCCTCTTAACAACCCAGTCCCCTCCTATCACACCTACAGCAAGAATGATCATTTCAGTAAGGAGTCCGAATTTCTAAAGCATTAAGAAGCAGTCACCAAACTGCACACCGTCTCTGTCACCTACTTAATGTGAACCACACCTGGGGAGACAGAGAGCTGAGAAAGTTAAACAATTGGCTGGGGTAAGTGAGAACCTAGGCCCAGGGAGTCTGGTACCAAGCCTGTACTAGTTACTAATGCTTCACAGTCCCTTACACACACATACATGCACACACATGCACACACACACACACACGTACCCACACACATATACACATACACACGTGCACCTACACACATACACATACAACACACATACACAACATACACATGTACACATGTGTACAAACACACACTCATCCACATGTGCATACACATGCACACAATGCACCCACACACATACATACATGCACACATACACATGTACATACATATATGCATACATATACACACATATACACATACCTATACATACATGTACCTATACAAGTATACAACATGCACACATGCACACACATGCATACAGTGTACCTATACAAATATACAACATACACACATGCACACACACGCATACAATGCACCCACACAAAACACACACATGCACACCCATGCATACACACATGCACAGACACACTCATGCATGCACACACATATATACATGCATATATGCACCCACACACACATAAACACAATGCACCTACACACATACCCACACAACACACCCACTGCACACACATGCACACAATGCACCCACATACATACATACATACATACACACATGCACACACACTCATGCATGCACACACATGCACACACATAACACACAATGCACACTCAGGCACTCTCTCTCACACATACCCACCACACACATGTACACTCATGTACACACACATACACACAAACACACACACACACACACACACACAGAGCCTTCTTAAGAATGAAGTCAGGCATGTTCGCGTATCTTCTCCAGTATTCTCATCTTCCCCCCATTCCTGGCCGACATCATCACATTTCACTGAACTCGATGACACCAGCGTCATCTAAACAAATTCTGAGTTCCTTTGCTCTTCCAGTCTTCCTTTTCCCTTCCTTGGACACTGTCACCTGTTTCCCCCTTGGGACACTTTCTGTTAGGACATGGCCTCCCATGTACACCTGATCCTCATGGCTCGTGGATCTGGCTTATCCCACAGGAAGCTGATCTCCTGGGACATCGCTGTCCTCTCAGTTGCCAAGGCTGGGCTGGCTGATCTACCCAGATTAAGGATCTAACCTCCTCCCTCCTCCACCAAAAAAAGGTTGGCGTTCTCAGCCTCAGGGGCAGAGGGCTTTAGTCCAAGATGAAGGAAGTATTAGTTGTCCAGGAAGAAAAGCTCTATGACTCTCCGTACTCTGGGTTTAGGCTTCTCATTTCTGGGCCTGGGCCGTGTACCCTGTATCCTTTTCCTTTGTCAAACTCTGTCAGAAGGTAGCCTTGATTCTAGCAGGGGCAGTTCACTGCAGCTTATTAGAGAAGTCAGAAAAAATATGTCCAAATCCAGAGAGAAACATCACTGTCCTCTCCCTACGAGAGGAGAGCTCATGGGTGATCCCAAAGAGCCTGGCTCTTCTGTCCTTCAACTAAGAATCTGATGAGCGCAACTCAAAGTCACGCAGGACATAATTTTGCAGACATGTAGTGAGGCGGTTATTAGAGAAATCCTAGATGGTCCATGTATCCCTTTACATCTCCTACCCTCTGACAGCCAGGTGGGGGCGTGTGACTGGGCTTCGGTCATCTCTAATTGTGAGCCTAAGTTGGAGTTGCTCAGGCAGCGGGGAGAATCCTATAGGCTCTCTGATCTGCCCCACTTCCTGCCTTAGCCTGACGTCACTTCCTGTTCTAGGATTTGCTTGATGTCACTTCCTGTTCTAGGATTTGCGCGACAGCACTTCCTGTTCTAGAAACGAAGGTTGAGGAGTCATACATAGGCCACCTGTTTCTGTAAATAAGGTGTTATCAGGACACAGCCACAGAGATTGTTCCCATGCTCTCTATGGCTATAGCTGGGTCCTGGTGGCAGAGCTCAGTATTTGTGACAGAGGTGATGAGAGAGCCCAGGTGTCCTGCGATGTCCAGAATGTTTACTACTGTGCCAGAGCAATCCAGTCACAGCATGTGAGGACAGGCCCTGAGGCGCCAGATCAAGGACTGTCTAGTACACTTTACTGGGGGGATTTGCTGATGGAACTTGGCTTCCAGGTGCACAAGAACAGTTGGATCCCTACAGCTTGGGTCAGAATGAAGGGGACAGTAACTCCATCTTTGTTGGAATGTCCCTAGGTCATCTTCAGATGGTATTGAAGGGTCAGATGTACCCCTCGAGCCCGGGTCTGATATTCTACTTTAGTGTTTTTTTGAACGTGTAGTTTAAGGTGAAACTAAGGAGGAAAAGCTGACTAGGGTCATTCTGTGGATAAATGTCAGACGTGACTCAAGATGGGTACAGTCATGTCAAGCTAAATCCATCTCTTCTCTAGACAGACTGCTATAGTATAACTGAGTTACTGATAGTCTGGGTCTCGGAAAGCCTGTGTGGGAGAAAGACCTTGAATATGCCCTGCGGGGTCTGTGCAACAAGAAAACACAAAGACCCTGCTTTTTTTTTTTCCTCAAAGGCTATCTTAACCTATCTTAATGGATCCCCATGGGGATTCAGGGAAAAGCTCTTAATAGCGGGAGGGGTTCGGAGCGCCCACTTACTTCCTGGAGAAGTGCACCGCACAGGAAACGCCGATGATGACCAGGCCGATGATGATAGAGGCGATGGCCACCCACTTGGCATTCCGCCCCAGCCTCCTGGCTCCTTCGTAGTCTCCGTCATTGTAGCTGTTCAGAGACTGGGGGGACACAAAAGAAGAGCCTGTGACCACAAGCAACCCATAAGGAAAGGGGTGAGCCCTCTCAGGTTGTCTTGATAGAACCACTCTTTTTTTTTTTAAAGATTTATTTATTTATTTTATGTATATGAGTACACTGTCGCTGGGATCCCGTTACAGATGGTTGTGAACCACCATGTGGTTGCTGGGATTTGAACTCAGGACCTTTGGAAGAGCGGTCAGCGCTCTCACCTGCTGAGCCAGGTCTCTAGACCCGATAGAACCACTCTTAATTGGCCACTGTTCATCTCAGTGTCAGGCTCTTGAGAAAACATGGCTATCATCTCTCCTCAGGAAGCCTTCCCTCAGTCCAAGGCTTCCATATTTCCTACTTACCCCACCCACACCCCAGGGCTGCTTTTGTCTCTCCTACCCATATAGAGACTCTATGAGTGGTGGTGCTTGCCTCTCTCGTTCAGCCCTGTACTTCGATTCCTATAGCCACACCTACCAAGTGGAAGACACTTAATACATATCTAACCCTGCAGATACATACCTGCACAGTGAAAGGACATCAAGCATTAGGGCAGTCTTTGCAAAGTATGCTCCACAGCCCGGGGCCAGCTTGTCACCTGGTTTTGTATAACTCATTTGGATGAGAAACAAACTCATTTATTTGCCCTTGCTTGTGGCTGCTTTTGTGCTACAGTGACGGCGTTAGGGACAAAGGTTATAGTGTTTGTCAAGCCCAAGCTATCTGCTGGTTGGTTGTGTACAGGAAACATCCAGTCATTCACACACTAAGAAGTTTGGCTCAATTATTCATCTCTATGCCTAAGCCAAGACCGGCTTTTAACTGTAGCTTCTCAGACTGTTAAAATGTTGCAACAATGAGAAATGCTACCCGCTGAGCCTTGTTCCTCTTTCCTTAATCCTCCAGCATTGGGGGCGGGTCCTTTTCTGTATCATTCACAACTTGGCTTCTCAGGCATGCTAAAGGTTATTATTGAGCCAAGCCTCCTTTTCCACTCCATCAAGGATGTTGCTCAGTGGGTAGAAGGCTAGTTTAACACATCAAAGGCCCTGGTGATCCCCTAGAACCCCCTAAGATGGCGGACGGGGACTGCAGAGGCAGAGAGTCCTGAGATCAGGACTTCAGGCTAGTCCTTGACTCCAGGCAGCTCTTGGTCCAACTGGGCTATTTGAGAAAGCGGGAGACCTCATCTCAGAGGTCAGATTTGAGGATCTGGGATAGGCACGGAGGGAACCAACCTTTCCAAGGCCCAGTGTCCCTGTCTGAGGATTGGAAGTAGTAGTGGCAGCATCTTCACACAGAGAATTCAAGGAATTAATGCGTGAAGTGGACACCGCTTTTCCTGTGAATTGACTGCTACTCTCACCTCCTCCGGTATTGTAACAGTGAGGTCTTTGGATGTGACAGGGTGCCTCCACCTCTGACCATCTCTGTGATCATGAGGACCCAAGTTCGGATAGATGTTTTAGATTATTCACAGTCAAAGTCACGGCAAGGAACATCAGGAATCCACACTCTGACCTTGTGATCTAGCTTAGAGTTAGGAAGAGTCAGACCACCCACCCCTGACAGACAAATTGTCAGTCTTTTGTGTGTCCTTGGAAAACAACTTAGAGATCTGATGGCTCAAGTCAGAAGAGGAAAAATAATGAGACCCTCAAACAGGGTTAACTCTTGACTGTCTGGACAAGAAAAATCTTCTGTTCTCCAATAGCAGTGACCAAAATAAGTAGGGAGGACAACCAGCCTGTGCCACACTGAAAGGCATCCTCAGGGTATTACCTGTGGGCTCAGGGGAGAGATGTCTCAGGGGAGAGTTGTGGGGCTCAGGGGAGAGTTGGGGGGCGCAGGAGAGAGATGGGGGCTCAGGAGGGATATGGGAGATCAGGGGAGAGATGGGGCTAATGGGAGAGATGGGGCTCTAGGCTCTTTGGCCTATTTAGGGCAGGTCAGCGAAGCCACAGTGACTACCCAGCTAAAGGGTTTGTATTCTGTCTAAACTCCATCTCCACAGTTACCTGGCAATATCCAGGTATGTTCCTCCCCACAGTTACCTGGCAACAGCCAGGTAGGCCTGCCCACTATAAAAGGGGCCGCTTGCCCCCTCCCCTCTCTCTTGCTCCGTTGATCCCTTGCTTGCAGGTTCTCTGCCCTCTCCCCCCTTCCCCTTCCCTTCCCCGTCTCTCCATGTGGTCATGGCTGGCCTCTACTCTCTACCTCTCTTTTCTTCTCTTTTCTTCTCCTTTCTTCTCTTTTCTCTTTTCTTCTCTTTTCTTCTCCTCTCTCTCTCTCTCTCTCTCTCTCTCTCTCTCTCTGCCTCTACTACCCTCCTGGCTCCCCTCCCCATGCCCTGAATAAACTCTATTCTATGCTATACTGTTGTGTGGCTGGTCCCTGGGGAAGAGATGCATGGGCCCGCTGAGACATCCCCTTCCATCATTGGTTTTTTTCCATCTTTTCAGTTTGAGTACAAGCTATGGATACATCCTTCCTCACCTTCAGCTAGCCTGGCACCCTGCACGGGACCCTCCTTCTTGGGTACCACCCTCTCTCCAAGATTCATGAGAGAGATTCTGAGGGAAGCTGACTTGAAACAGTTGAAAAAAAAAAACTCTTTCAGTGCCAAGGAGGATTCCCTTCTCTGTATATAGGACTCCAGCTCTGACTTTGCTTCCCCCTCTGCCTCTTGGAGAAGGGCTCTCCCTAGTAAGTCAGCTAGATGAATATACAGATATTGGGGAAGGATCAGGGCAGAAGACTGTAGAGTTTCAAGATTCCAGACTAAAGAACTCCTGCTATGGTGGTGGTGGTCAGCTTAAGGGTCAGATACAAGAGATACTTTGTTCATAGCTGGGACAAAGCACCTGATGGAAAGAGCTTAAAGGAGGAGAGGTTTACCATCTGAGGTGGCAGGAGAAAGGAGGTGGTTAGCTTGTTCACACTGTGGCAAGAATCAGAAATAGAAGAGGATCAGAACCAGAGGTGACGCAGAGGCCCTCCACGGCCCATCTCTAGCGATCTACCTTTGCCAGCTGGACCCTCACATTCCAAGCTTCCCCAGTCTCCTCAGACAGCAAGGGGGACCAAGTGCTGGCCACTTCCATCCAGACCTTTAACAGTGGGAGCTGGCAACGGTGAGAGGAATCCTCGGGCCCTGTCCAGTGCGGGGTTGCAGCTCAGGGGCTCAGACACTTTGGACACGTGCTCCCTGCCCTGGCTGTAGTAATTCTTTCAGTTAAAGCGTCATCCTAGGGGACTCTAGGCAGATGGGACAGATTGAGATTGTGGAAATGGGTTTTAGAGAAAAATGCACAGTTTATAAATCTTTTTCTTCCAAAGAGCTCAGAATGCAAACGGTGCCATCTGGTATGAAGGAACGAGAAAGGATCCCGGATGGCTTCAGATCACTAAAATGCTTATGATCTTGTTGGAGCAGACTCAAGCAGACTCTTTCCTTGACCCAGGGGTCATGAGGATTGAATTCAGGGCATCAGGTTTGGTGACAAGTGCTTTGACCTGCTGAGCCACCTCGCTGGCCTGGTTTATATCATCTTAGTCTTTTAAAAATTACGAATGCAATTTGGATACGTGCCAATCATTTGAACACTACAGAAACAAACAGAACACAAAACATCACTTAATCTTATTTCTCGGTGCTAAGTAGCTCGGTATGTCTTTTCGATGCTTCACCCACAAATCCTGTGGAAATAATTTTGACACTCCTCCAGCTTCTGTGATGACTAAGCTTAGATTGATGTGGGGAGAAAGGAATTTGCACCCCGAGATAAAGCCGGAGTTGTAAGTCTGCCTGTCTAATCACGGTCCTTCACACGTGACTGCCTTGCACGTTTCCTAGAATCTTTGTAAAGACAGCTTCATCCTCCCTCTGGCAAGGTTGGTGACACAACACAGGCTACAGAAAGAGCACAGCACAGGCTGCAGGGGAGCACACACAGGCTGCAGAGGGAGCATGGCACAGGCTGCAGAGGGAGCACACACAGGCTGCAGAGAGAGCACAGCACAGACTGCAGGGGAACACACACAGGCTGCAGGGGGAGCACAGCACAGGCTGCAGAGAGAGCACAGCACAGACTGCAGGGGGAGCACACACAGGCTACAGGGGGAGCACATACAGGCTGCAGGGGGAGCACACACAGGCTGCAGAGGGAGCACAGCACAGGCTACAGGAGGAGCATGGCACAGGCTGCAGAGGGGATGTTTTGTTCTTATTACAAACAGACTGCTGTAAATCCTGGTAGACTTAGTAGATGTGCCACTGGTATTTCCTCTTGACACCAGTCTCATGCTTTTCATTTGGCTAGTTGGTTGGATCTTTTGAACTTGGACTTCCTTGCATTTCTTTCTAAGTAAATCCAATTGAACCCTTTCCCTCTCCGCTCTCCCCTTCTCTTTTCCCTTTTTCCTTTTCCTTCTCTTCTGCTTTTTCTTTCTCATCCCCCCCCCCTTCTAAATGTTTTGGCTACTATAGTGTTGGAATGTTCCCCAATGAGCCATGTGCTTCAGGCTTGGTGGTATAACTTTCAAGGGTTAGGTCAGTGGGGATATGTCCTTGAAGGCACTCTTAGCATTTTTTATGTTGCTCCCCAATCTCTCTCTTTCTGTCTCTTTTCCTCCCCCCTCTGTCTCTTTCTCCTCTCTCTCTGTCTCTTTCTTTCTCTTTCTATGTTTCTTCCCCCCTCTGTCTCCCAGCTTCAGTCGCTTCCTCTACCTGTGTTCCTGTCATGATATACTTGCCTCTTCACGACTCGAAAGCCACAGGACAGACGGGCCACACACAGAAACCTCTTAACTCTCTGAGCTGATGTGAACCCTTTCTCCCTGCAAGTCTGGAGGCATTCTGTTACAGTAGGTGGGAAGCCCGTGGCACAGCTTCTCACTCATCCTGAGACAGAATGGGAACTGCAAAAGGCAGCATCTGTGGAACACTTCTTAATGCGTGACACTGAGTCACACTCTTTTGAGGGAC